GAAATTCTTCTTTCCCATTAAGGAAAGCGCCAGAAGTGAAGAAGAAATGGCATGAGTTATAATATCAAATCAGTTGAGATTTCAAAGATGAAAGTAGAATAGGTGAACAGAGCATCTTCGTTGAAGCTCAGGAAGTTATTCTCAAATTCATTCTTTTCCTTTCCCCCCCTTTTTTTCTTTTCTTTTCTTTTCTTTTCTCTTTTTCTTTACTGTTTGTCTTTTGTTGTTGCAGTATGTCATGATGTTAGTGCTGATAAGTGATGTTAGGGTGAATCGAATTTGTTTTTTTGGATGTATATAAGCACAAGAGAGATGTGATGTAGGCATGATTGTTTATTGTCATTGTCATTTGTTTTTTTAATAAATGAACAAAGTATCAAAAAAGAAAAAAAGAAAAAAACTCTGTATAAAAACCTCCAAAGGAGGAGACTCCACTACACTCCAAGAGAGTGTGTTCCACTGTTAAACAGCTCTTACTATCAGGAAGTTCTTCCTAATGTTGAGGTGGAATCCCTTTTCCTGTAGTTTGCATCTATTGCTCCATGTTCTAGTCTCTGGAGCAACACAAAACAACCTTACTCCATCCTCAACATGATATCCCTTCAAATATTTAAATAGGGCTATCATATCACCTCTTAACCTTCTCTTCTCCAGGCCCAACAAACTCAGATCCCTGAGTTATTTCTCCAAGAGCATGGTTTCCAGGCTGAGTTCAAAGTGCCAGAGTAGATGGCACTGTGTTAACTCAGCAGTAGCAAAGAAGAGAAGGAGGCAGAATCTTGCCCTTCCCAGGCAATTGCAAACCTCCTCACTTGTGCGCTCTTCCTTATTAATAACTTTTGCCATCTTGACCACATTCTGATGTTGCTTGGCATGACATGCCCAAGTTTCATCTGTAAAATGTTGTGGGCTGTGCTAAAGCTATTTAAAAAACATTGCAGGAGATTCAAGATTGACTTTTGATTAGAAAAATATTCAAAATACCAGAAAGTCAGGTACTGAGTTCAAACTGAACACATTTACAAACTTCTAATCAGACCACAATACACCAAACTTAACAGGCTACAGTAATAAGGTCAAACTGATAGTAAAAAGGCTCCATATATGAGAAAAGCAGAATAGTTAGTTCATTGAAAATGCAAGCCTAAACATATTGTGTGTTGTTGTTTTTTAGGTTTGCAAAAATGGATTGTAAAGTTATGGAACTTTGTAGGCATAGAATAATAATAATAATAATAATAATAATAATAATAATAATAATAATAATAATAATAATATACTTTATTTATACCCCACCTTTAGCCAAAGCTGTCAAGGGGTCTTACAGTTAAAAAAAAATACAAACATACAAAAACAAACTCAACATGAAGAGCAAATCACACAGCTCTCAACAAAACAACCTCCAGCATAGAAAACATAACAGCTTCCAGTCTACATGCACAACATTTGTAGTCTGCTGATTGACTGCATTGCAGCCACCTGGCCTAACTGACCAATTACCATGCAGGCTCACAAACACAGTTTCACCTGCCATTTACTACACCTTTGCAATCCTGCATACCCTGACATATGTGCCTTCAAGTTACCTGTCAACTTATGGTGACCCCATGAATTTCATAGGCTTTTCTTAAACAAAGAATACTCAGAAGTGGTTTTTCAACTTCCTTCCTCTGAAATATAGCCTGCAGAATCTAGTATTCATTGGTGGGCTCCCTTCCAAATACTAACCAGGGATGACCCTGCTTAGCTTCCAAGATCAGATGGGATCTGGTGCCCTTAGGTTATTTACACACACACACCACACACACACTTAGAAATTTGTTTCTATTGAGTCATACTTACTTATGAGTAGACACACATCCATTTGTGTTGACTATTGTCTTGCTAGAGGGTTTAGGTTATACATCCTGGGAAAATGATTTGTAAAGAATAACTGGTACTCAATTATTGGGTTGGGGGAAAGGTCACCATGCAATGTTGACTTGTTTTCACAATCAATAATTCAATACTTTATTATTCTAATTTCCTGTAGGCTCTGGATTGGGAACTAATGGAATTCCTCATAATGATGAACTCCTACTCTCATCATATGTCCCCACTGGCCAGAGTAAGTGGGAAGATGAGAGTAAAAGGAGTCCAACAACACTCAAAGAGCCAAAAGTTTCCCATCCCTCTTTAAGGTCTTGAATAAGAATGAAGAAGAGATCACTTTATTTTCTTCCAAAAATAACATCAAATACTCTTCTTTTCTTGAACTGCATCTCCTTGAAGCCAGCTACACCAAGGAGTGCATTGTATTCAGATGGGGTCCATTCTTTTCCTTCAGCATAAAGCAGTATCACTGTGGAGTAATGTAGACTTCTAAAGATCCACTTCTGTCTTCATTGAGAACTGTGTCCACTAACAACACACCACCACCTGTGAATTGATTAAGGAAAGAGTCAATTTCATTACCTATTTCTGCACCTTTCTGGAGAGTTTTGAATATGGTCCTTTGCATGAGAAATACTTGGAAATGTGTGCCAGAGTACAAAGAAAGAAGATATATTTACTGGAACATACCTACTGGAGGAGTGCACAAGGTTTTTGGCCCACATTGATTTTTACATATATACATGCATATCTCAGCACACATGAATGGGAAAGCTTACTTCTTCCATCTCAGTCCAGTGAGATATAATGATTATGGGGGGAGGGGGGATGACTTGGAGTTTGAGATGGGAACAGCAAGAAACTAGAGATTCCCATTTCCCATGGTGTCTAGTAGGCAGTGTTTTTCCCTCCAGCCCATGACAGCAGATTCTCTCCATCTTTGAGGCTCACACAGGCACAAATTCCTCTATCACAGAGGTAGGCAACCTTTCCCCTTTAAAGGCCAAGGGACTTCAGCTCCCAGAATCCCAGGAGCTATTGGCCAACATGGGACTATTGACCAACATGGCTGAGGCTTCTGGGGGTTGAAGTCCCTCGGCCCTTAAAGGGGAAAGCTTGCCTACCCCTGCTCTATAGCAATATCTTATACATACTGTTCCCAATCTCATACAAAATATCCTATGATTTCCATTGCCTGACTGAAAAACCCACATGCTAGCCAAATTCCAAGCATATTAAGAAAGGACATGTGCTTATGAAAAGAATACCTTCCCAGGAATAGAACAGCCCCAGAGGCTGTCTGGGAAAGGGCCCAAGATGGCCCATAACACACAGTATGCAGGATCTTATACTGGCTCTGATAGATTTCAAGCCCTGATGCTGTTAGACTGCAACTGCTACCATTAGATATGCTCATGAGGAAAGATAGAAAATTCAGTTAAAGAATATATGGAATACTGCACTTTGCACTTTGCACTTTGCCACCCACCCCTATTTTAATCAATTCTCATAACATAATAATTTGATTCCCACACCAAATTAGATGATGAAAACTTTCTTTCCAAAATAATTCCTTTAACTGCTGCTGTTAGGGCAGAGCAGCCCATGGATTAATGAGCCTTTGTAGATAATGGGCCTGAGAATGGTGCATTTCAGGGGTAGCCAACCTTTCCCCTTTAAGGGCTGAGGGACTTCAGTTCCCAGAATCCCAGGAGCTATTGGCCAACATGGGACTATTGGCCAACATGGCTGAGGCTTCTGGGAGCTGAAGTCCCTTGGCCCTTAAAGGGGAAAGGTTGCCTACCCCTGGTGTATTTACTTGATACTTGCAACACATTATACAAATGAAGAATGCCTCCAGATAACACAAAAGACAAAGATTTTTAGAGGGAATGGTGTAGCTCAGTGGTAAAGCACATGCGTGGAATGCAAAAGGCCCAGGTACAATCCCTGGTCCCTCCATAGAAGACTTTAGACTGCAGAATTGATGCAGTCTGAAACCACTGTCCCAGAGAACTGTCATGACTCAATGCTATGGAATTCTGAGATTTGTAAGTTTTGTTTTGTGAGATATTCAATCTTCTCTGTCAGAGAGCCCTGGTGCAACAACAAACTACAAATCCGAGAATTCCATAGGATGGAGCTATGACAGTTAAAGCAGGGTCAAACTGCATTGATTCTGCAGTGTGGCAGCAGCTTAAGGCTGGAAAAGAATCATGCCTCAAACTCTGGATGCATTGCTGCTAGTTGCTGTGGATACCAGTCTGGACAGAACCTCAATGCATGCTGTTTCTGAACATTCAAGAAACTGAGATGTCTACAAGCAAATTAAAGGGAATGCATATTGTGAGCCTAAGAGTGCTCATTTGTTCATCAGCGTATGTAAAGAGCAGTCTTGTTCCCATCTTATACTATCTAAGCATACGTACCAAGCTTACAAGCCTTGTGTAAGTTTGTGTTAGACAACGACTGGAGTGTGAATGGCGAAAGACTCGTCTCTTATCTGACAGAACTCG